GCCCGGCGGGGCGGCGGCGGCCGGCCCCGTGCCTGGGCTCAGGAGTGCGGGAGCTGCCTGGGGGAGCTTGGGGCTGCTGTGAGCACGGGGGCTGTGGGTCTGTGTGTGCTCCGCTCTCTGAGCACAGGGTACTGTGGAAGTGGAGGGTTTTCCGTGGGCCCGGGGCCTGGTTTTGGCTCCAGTCTTCAGCCCTGCCTCCGAACCTCCTGTTTCCCGTTCCTGAATAAACCCTCTGATGGCACCTTCCTCCTCAGAGCACATTTATCCCCCTGTTCTCTTGCCTCCTCTGTCACAACTAACCCTCCTGGGTTCCTTCACTCCTCTGAGACACACCACCGGCTTCATCTTCCTCACTTTGTCTTTTACCTCGAGCACTACTGCTCCTTGACTGTGACAGCTTGTCCAGCGTCAATGGAGGAGGAGGTGTTACAGCATTTCTTCAGACCGCAGCTTGCAGCCTGTCTGTCCTGGCTGCACGGGGTTTTTGGAGCACAGGGTTCTTGGGTGCCTCAGCTGTGCTGAAGAGCTGGCTGGGTCTCTACTGTGAGGTTATGGTGTTTTATGGTACTGTGAGGAGGTTGGGAGGTGAGGAAGGGGAATTGGGTGTCTGCACAGCCTGACTGCCCAGGGATCAGAGTGAAGCCTGGGGCTGGATCCAGCGCTGGCAAGAGGCCGATACAGAGTGTAGGGTATGGCCAGGCTGATCGCTGCTGCTCTGCCTGCTTGTGGGGATGCCTGGGGGACTGGATCCAGCATGTTTCTGCCTGGGGTGCCTGTGCCAGATCTTTGTACTCAAAGGTCTCTCTTCAAACAAGTTCAGTCATAAGAATAAGTCATAGTCACTGGGCATTGCCCAGTTTGCACCAGTAAAATCAGCTTGACCAGGGGGTGAGACAAGAACCTCTGTGAAGGGACAAAGCTGGTGTCTGCAGGACCCAGAATGCTGTAAGGGACACTTTCATCACAGTCAGTGTCTCTGAGATGAGCCCCAGATTTAATCCCTCTTTTTGTGGGACTTATGCAGCTGTGAGCACTGCTGGGCCTCATCCTGCTGGAGGTATCAGCATTGGCAGCATGTGTGGCCTGTCAGGGAAGCATGGAGGTTCTCACTACCAAGGCAGCAGTGAGAGTGGGAAATGGGAAACAAGGAGCCAATTCTTCCCCTCTGTGCATCTCCCCCAGGGCTGGACCAGCCCCTGCAGCCTCAGTGGAGTTCTCGTCATGGGCCCCTCCACAGCAGGAGGAGGGGAGCTGGGGCCCACGTGGTGTTGGGCTCTGGGTGCCGCTGGTGTGTGGGGCCATTGTGGCATCTCGCTAGGTGTCCTCCGATCCCTACTCTGGTGCATCCAGGGAACAAAAGCTCTTCAGAACCCATGGTTTAATAATTGCTCCTTGTTTCAGTGTCAGGGTCCTCCCCCTGTCCCTTGAGGGGCTGAAGCGCAGAGGCTTCTCAAAGTCTGACAAAACAAACCACTTTGGAGGCTGGAAAATCTCATCACTTTGTTTTCTCTTGTGCGAAACCACAGCCCAGAGCCGGGCAGTTATCCCATATTCCCAGGGCTTGGGAGCGCTGCAGGGCTGATCCCTGCTTGTAGCTGTGCTCCAGCCCTCCCTTGCTGCCCCTTCCCAGGTGTTCTGCCTGCCCCTGGGAGTGCCTGGCACATCCACACCCCTTGGGCTGGGGAGTGTGTGGGGTGCCCCGTGGCCTGTGTGCACTGGCTGGCTTCCCTTGAGAGGTACGGGCTGGCTTCCCTTGAGAGGTGCAGGCTGGTTCCAAAGCAATGTCAGGGGGGTGGATGTGGCCATGGGGTTTGGCAGCGTGCCAGCAAAGCCCCTCTGAGTGGGTGAAGGTGACAGGCTATGGTGTGATGCTGCAGCTTAGATGGCAGGGGTGTGCTGGGGGCCAGTGTGCCCCTTGGCTCATAGGGCTCCTCTGTCCAGGGGGCAGCACTGGCAGAGATGTGCTGGGAGTGCTAGCACAGCCATACTGCCTGAGTACCCTGCACCTGGACCTTCCCTGTGGTGAAAGGGTCCTGCCCTCATGGGGCTGCGCACAGCAAGTCTGCAGTCCTGCAAGGGTCCTGTGCACCATGGCATTGCCGGATCCCAGCAGGGCATGCTGCCAGCCCAGTTCCTGGTGCCTTCTTCATGCTTCAGTTTCCCTGTCTGTAAGGAGCAGCCCCGGCCCACTCAGGACTGGCTGGCTGGCTTTGGAACTTGATATTTTCTTTAAAAAAAATCTGTGCCTGGGCAACGTGCAAAGGGCACTGAGTGCTCAGAGCCCCAGCAGGGCTGTTGCCTGTTCTTGATGCATTGAACTTGCCTGGCTCTGAAGCTGGTGTCCTGAACAGCGTGGGACCTGCTGTCCTGTGGGCATTGGTCCATCCAGACAGGGTGGTTTGCTAAAGCTCTGGCAGTTGGTGTTGCCGCAAGGCAGCTCCAGGCTGTGGGTGAGGGCAGGAGCCCCTGGTGAGGGAAGGGGGGAGGAAGGGAAGGTTTGGTGCCCCGATGCCACCATGTGCAGTGGCAGAGTTTGGCTCCAGCAGGATCAGGTCCTCTGTGGTTGGCAGAGTGGGTGCCTGCCTGGCATGCTGTTGCAGTGCCCGGCCCAAGGGCATCTTTCCTCAGTCCCTCACAGGCACTCCAGGGAGCTCTTAGGGCTGGTGACGGGCTGTCCTGCTCCAAACCTGTGTGTGCCCATGGCTGCCCAGCCCTGGGCATGTTGTTGGCACGCTGCCGGGAAGCTGCCAGTGCCAATGATGCTTGCTTTACTGTCTGGGAGTCATGTTAACCTGGTGTAACTCCATTAATTTCCTTTTTAACCAGCAATTAACTTGGCCAGGACAGTTGGTCCCATGCCCATCGCTGCTTCCTGTGGTGGTTGGGATGCGTCCCCCAATGCACGATCTCGGGTGGGAAATGGAAAACCAACTCTGTCCAAAGGCTGCGGGCTTTTCTGGGGAAGAGAGCCACCTGGGCTGGCCCCTGGCCATGCTATGACCTGCGGGAGGGCGTGGGGCTCAGCATCCCCAGGCTGGGTGCTGCTGCTGTCTCCAGGATGTGAGGGACCTGCTGGAGCTGTGTGCTGGAGGGCAGTGCCAGCCCTGCAGCTGTGTGGGTGTCACAGTAGCTCCCAATCCAAACTGGGCTGCTGTGAGGACCAGGGGTGTGGGCTGAGTGCTGCTCCTGATCCCAAAACTGCTCCTGGTGACACCCGATCCACAAGGGTCTGCGGGGCTGTGGGGCAGCACTCCCCTCATGCCTTTGCTATTCTGATGCCAGCAGTGATGCCCCCTGCACATTGCTGCAAACAGCGTGTGGGACCCAGGGGCTTTAGCTTAAGGAAGGATGTGTTGGGTTTTTACCATTTTCATTTTTCCAGGACACGCCAGTTCCCAGAGCCAGATGGCTTAGGGCTGACCACAGTGTTTATCTCCAGACAGATGCTGAGTGCCCAGACCTGATGTTCAGCAAGGGAGAGGAAGGAGAGCAGGGAGTGAAGAAACTGGGAGCACTGCACTGGCCTGAAACAGCTCCTGACTCTCCCCTTGGCCACATCCTCTCCAGGTTTGGGTGGGGGCAGGAGCAAGACCTTGGGGGGGATTTGGTTTGTCCCATCTAAAGAACAACCCCAGCACCAAACTGGCATGGGTGCACCTCACTTTCTCTCCTCCCTGCCGCAGAAGACCCTGATAGGACTGGGCAGGCGATGGGGCTGCGAGGTACCAACAGAGCAGTTCACAGTCAAGCCTGTGAAACTTGGCCGGGAGGACAGAGGGAGATTGATGTTTGCTTGGGTGTTCAGCCCTCAGCTGCGGGCTCTGCCTGCCCCCGCGGCAGCTGGGGACAAAAGCGCTAGCCCTGGATGGCACGGCAGGGCTGGCGTAAGCCCCCCGGGACAGCTGGCAGCTCTGTAAGGCTGGCGCCTGCCCAGTAAGCTGGCATGAAGGGGCCACGTGGGGAGGCTCACCCATTGGGATGCTCACCCATGTTCGGGTGTCTGAGCTCCACCATGGAGCCTGAGCCCTCCTGGCCCCACATCTGCCCAATCTTGGGTCCTGTCCCCTGGCCAAGCCTGGATGGGATGGAAGGTAGCCGGAGTGACCACGGGGAGCACTGCACAGAGATGTGAGGGAGCAGAGAGTGACAGGGTTTGGGGCTGGGAGCTCACAGGGGCCTCCCACGAGCCCTGCCAGCATCTCCCACGCAGGAGAAAAAACCCAACAGTCACCGCCAATTATGTCAGAAAAATCACCAGTGGAGGTAACGATACCTGGATGTAATTGCAGGTCAAGGCTTCTGTCCTCACAGGGCTTCTGTGCCCTTGTCCCCTTGTCCCTCCCACACACAGGGGACCACGCCAGCCGCTGGAGCTGGACACAGGGTCCTCAGCAGAGACAAACCCCCACCACACCACTGAAAATCCCAGAAAGGCTTTATTTGCGTAGGAAGATTGATGCCGTTTAAAAATCCACCGCTGCTGGAGGGTGGTCTGGCCACCCAGCGCCTGTGGGTGCTGCCTGGGCACTGGCACCTCCCGGTTTGGCGCTGCCTCAGGGGGCTGGGTGCCAGGTGAGGTGAGGAGATGTGCACACCTTCCTCTGCCTCCAGGGGTGCACCCCAAAAAAAAGTCTCGAAAGCTTGGCCTGAACACGTGGTGAGGTCCCACAGGGACCCCCACAGTGGGGAAGGCATGCATGGCAGTGACAGTGGGATGGTGAGTCCCCGGGCATGGCTTGGAGCCGGTTCTCCTCTGCTTGCCACATCTGTGAAATGGGTGTGTGTGGCTGAGTGCTCTGCAGGGTTTGTGGGGCTGGGCAGCGGGTGAGGGGTGCGGGGCTTTGCTCCTGGTGAGTCATGTGAGGGAGAGGGTGATGCCTGCCTGAGGAGGAGGACCAGGGGCCATGGCAGGGGTTTCTGGCTGGGTCTGGCTTCAGCAGACAGTGCTGGCCTCCTGCCCATGTCCCCTTGCCCTGCAGAGTCCCTTTTGCCATGACAGGTGGGTCACTGGGGCCCTCACCATGCCATGGTGGCACCACAGCCTCCAAGAAAAGGGATGAATCTTGTTTCCATCCTGCCCTGTCTGGAAGACCCTGGGCCCTCTCCTGTGACCAGGGCTGTGGGGGAATGGACCCCGCTGGGCTGTGAGCCCCCACCAGACTGGCTGTGAACAGGGGGAAAGGAGAGCATCAACACGTTTCTCTCTGTAGGACCTACATGAACATCACCTACTGCTTTTATTTCCTGCTAAGCACAGAGGATATCCAGGTCAGGAGGGCTGGAAGCCTTGCTGAGCTTGTCCTGTTGAGGTTTTGGATGCTCTCCTCTCCAGTGGAGGAGCAGCAGGGGTGAATTCACCCAGGGGACGCTGTGCCTGGGCACCAGGGTGGGGAGAAAGCTGGGGAACAGGGCAGTCTTTACCTCCGGCTTTCTGCTGGCACTGTGGTGCCATGGGAATACAGCAGTCTGGGGATGCCACCACTCACTTTACTCCTCCAAAGGGATCAGCCAAGCTGGCCCCACTACTTTCATTCTGAAAAGTCTCTCTTGGAATACGGGCTGTGGGCCCTATCCTGCAGGTAGTGCAGTGCTGGCTCCCCGGTGCGAAGTGGCTCCCATCTGTGGCTGCAATGGCTATCTGCGCCCCTTCACTGTAAGCAGGACTGGGCTCACCCGTTGCCTGCCCCAGGGCTGGCATTTCCTCGGAGGAAACAGAGCCTCCTGCCCAGCGTCCCTGCCACAGTCCTGCCTGTGGCCGTGGGCATCATGGGCAGGTCTGGGCTTTGCAGGGAAGGAAGCATCCCTGACATGCTGCTTAGCTGTGCGTTGGAGCTGGCTGGGGGCCGGAGGGGCCCTGTCTGTTGCTGAGCTGGAGACTATGGGGCCATAGCCAGCACCCACACCGTCCAGGTGCAGGCAGGGGTGCTGCCTGCTGTTTCCTGCAACCAAAGACTGGGCCAGGGGAGGAGAGAGGGCTGCAGCCTCTCACCTCACTGCTTATGGCCCACAGCACAATGATGCAGCATGGAGAAGCAGCAGCCTGACATGGAAGGTGGTGGAGAGGTGGAGGGTGTTTGGCTGCAAGGTGGTGTTCCCTGGCCAGCAGCTGTGCAGCATCCCAAAGTACCAGGGGCTCCCCTGTGCCATGGTAGTGCAGCATCCCTGGGTACCCAGGGCTCCCCAGCAGCACGTCATCCCTGGATACCTGGGGGTGACACCATGCAGGAGGGGGTCCCTCTCTCCAGCTGATTGTGGGGACCTGGGGCTACTGATCCTCCCCACCTTGGTGCCTCAGCATCCGAAGGGACATGGGGGCTGCAACATGTGCAGGTTCCAAGGCCCAGCCCAGCTGTGCCACTGCTCCAGGACAGAGGGAAACTTAGTTTTGGCTGAGCTCGTGGCACCCGGGTGCACTGGGAGGGTCAGACCGAGAGGCAGTCATGCTTTTCTGGGCCTCAGGGCACCGAGTGGATGTCCTCTGAGCGCAGCACTTTGTAGACAACCCAGTAGAAGATATTGAAGACCAAGAAGGTGAAGGGGAAAACAGCTCGGGAGATGGTGTCGATGCGCTTGGCCCGGTCGATGTAGCGCCTGCGGAGGCTCTCCCCTTCCCGCAGCAGCATGCCAGTGGAGTTGGGGCTGTAGATGCCAGGGCCCTCCCCAGCCCCCTCCGTTGGCTGCAGGCAGTGGCCCAGCCCATAGCCTCGCAAGTAGAAGCGGCTCTCACGGACAAGCTCTTCCTCCTGGCGAAGGGAAAGGCTGTCAGCCAGGGCACCCCATGGGTGCCAATACTGCAGGTTGAGCAGGCACTTGTGGCAGCATGTCCTGTACGCTCCCCGACTGGCTGATACAGTCATGTAAGTGCCCGCTGCAAGGTTAAGCGCTTTTTCAGAAAGCCTGAAGCGTGCAGGCAAAAGCACAGGGCCGGCAGGCTGCAGGCAGGGGCAGGCAGCAGTATGCATGGGGTGTGGGGGTGAGCACTGAGCGACTGCCTTGTCATCCAGTACGTGTTTTAAGGGTGCATCCAAGCGCAACCCTGACCCTGGCAGCCTGACACTGATCCCATCTGGCCTCCGGCCTGGGGGCTTGGGAAGCCCGGCTCTCTGGCAGCTGGGGGAATGGGGGTGAACTGGGGTGGGTGGGAAGATGGGGATGCAAGTTGCATGGGGGTGCAGGGCACAGGGGTGCAGGGTGCATTGGGATGCAGGGAGCTTGGGGGTGCAGGCACTGCTGTGGCAGCGCAGGGCCTCCCAGTCCCTGTAGGGGCCCAGACCGCTGTTTCTCCCCACGGCTGCTTGGCAGGGGCTGCCCGGTGCAGCAGAGGAGTGAGGCTGCACGAGCTGGTCTCCTTGCTGGACTCTCTGCCCTTGTTCAGCCCAACTTTCCCCATGCTAGCAGGGAGCTACAGGGAGGGCAGTGTGCCCGTAGGGCTGCATGCCTGTGATCAAGCCTGCAAAAGTGCCATGAGAGCCCGGTGCCTGCCTTCACCCTCAGGTTGCAGCCCACAGCCATCATTCACAGTACAGCCCTGCTCGCCTCGCGGCCCCTCGGGTGCCAGCCAGTGGTGCCCATGCTCCTCCCCACAGCTGCGCATTGTTAGTGACTTGCCTCATCCTGCTCTTTTGTCCTTGACTGGGGTTGTGTGTGCAAAGATTTGGTGAGGGACTGGCATGTGCAAGCCCGGGCTGCACTTCTGGCTTCTCACTGAGTCCCCGGGCCACTCGTTTGGTCTCTGTGGCTCATCCCCCCTCTGGCACGCTAGTGGGTCTCTTCTCCCAGGGCATGCTGCAGGCCAGCCCCTCACCTCGTGCCATGCCCACACACAGCCCAGGTGCCGGATCCCAAATGCCATCTCCATCCGGCACTGCCCTCCAAACCATGGAGAGCAGCCTCCTTGCTGAGGTCAGCCTGCACAGGCGCTCAGCCGGCAAGGGGGCTCTCATGCAGAGAGCTTGTGCCCTGGCATCTTTATTTAACTCAGCAATCTGCCAGCTAAGCAAGATTTCCCAGTGGGAAGAGCAGCGGCATCTCAAATTGCTGAGATTAGTTCTTATTTGCAGCAGAGTTCTATTCCCCTGCCCCAGGCTGAGTGCTTGGAGCCACCCCGAGGGATGCGGTGGGGGGCAGCCAGGGTGCCCTGTGTGGTCTGGTGGGCAGCAGCTATTCCCCCAGCCCAGGGGGCCAGTGGGCCCAGCCAGGGTGTTTGGGGGAGGAGATGGCAGACTGGGAGCACTGGTCCTCCCAGCTGGGTTCCTCTGGCCTGGGGCACTTCCTGGGGGCCAAGGCTGGGTGCAGGGAGCTCCCTGGGCCCAGCTCTGTGGGGTCTGTGTGTGGGATTTGCTGTTGGACTGCAGCACCCAGGCTGTGCTGCATCCGGCAGCGCCAGGACGGGAGCCGCGGGCAGTGGGGCTCCGCTCCAGTCTCTGACAGAGCTGCAACCCAGGGTGCTCCTGGCTGCACCCAGTGTCTTGTCAGGGTGGCTCTGCAGCCTCCACCTCAGGGTGGCTGCATTTTGTCTATTTTAAGCCAGCAGATGGTTCCTGGGTTCGGCAGAACCTGCCCTTCCCTGCCCCAGTTGGGTGGGTGTTAATCTCAAGGGGTCGGTGATCAGGGGCTGTGAGGAGCTGGGAAGCCTCTCCTGGCATCCAAGGGCTGATGATGGTGGAGGGGAGGCTCAGGGCAGCCTGGCTGGGCAGGGAGACAAGGACGTACTGGGCTTCATTTCCTCCGAGCTGCGGTCTTCCCCCAGCATCTCCCTGCCAGCCTGGGAGCCTGCCCTGCCCCGCTGCTCCTCCTTTCATATAATCATACAATCGTTTAGGTTGGAAGAGATCATCAAGTCCAGCTGTTAACCTAACCCTGCCATCCTACCACTAAACCATGCCCCTAAGCACCTCATCTACCTGTCTTTTAAATACCTCCAGGGATGGGGACTCGACCACTTCCCTGGGCAGCCCCTTCCAGTGCCTGACAACCCTTTCTGTGAAGAAATTTTTCCTAATGTCTAACCTTTCGCCTCAAGCTGCGAAGTGCCCGTGTGCCCTGAGCAACTGCCCGCGCTGGAGTTACTGCAGGCAGCCCGGAGCCCTGGCCCTGCCAGCGGTGTGGGCACGGCCCGGGGAGCTGGGCAGCAGCTCAGGAGCGGCTGTTGCTCTGCCCCAGATCACTCATCCCTCAGCAAAGGGGGCTGTGCTGGTCTTGCTTTACAAAAGGGGAAACTGAGGCATGGAGCAGGGATATCTCCAGGGATATCTGCTCCATCCCCACCCCTCTCGCAAATATATTTTCAGCCCAGGGAGCAGCAGTTCCATCCTATGGGCACATGCTCTGTGCAAATCACTGCCTTGCTTCTACCACAGGCCCTTGCTGGGCCTCAAGCTGCGAAGTGCCCGTGTGCCCTGAGCAACTGCCCGCGCTGGAGTTACTGCAGGCAGCCGGGAGCCCTGGCCCTGCCAGCGGTGTGGGCACGGCCCGGGGAGCGGGGCAGCA